GTGGGAGGCTTCTGGACCGAATTGTTCTGTGTGTGAGATCTGAGGCAGCCGTGTTAGCACAATAAAGACACTTTACGACCGGACTGAGGCGGCTGTCGCTGTTCCACGGAGGCTGGGCAGGGGTGGGGGGCCCTGCTCAGGGTGGGGGAGGGCTGCCCCTGGTGCTGCGCCTTATGCTGACCCCTCTCCTGACCTCCCCTCCTAGCAGAGCTGGAAGGGGCCACCCGATCCTACCCTTTTCAGCAACACACAAAGTGTAGAAAAAAGAAAAAGAAAAAATAGCTCAGAACATCTATGAGAATAAAAGGCACTGGCCAAGTGTAGCACTACAGCTGCCATTTCTAAGTGCTCAGAGTTGTCACATGGCAGGGTTTTCTGTCGAGAATAATGTGCTCTGACGGTCTAGTGAGGGTTGGAGTGTTGTTGAACGCTAGATGGAAACGCCCTTGGATCACAGAAGGCAAAGGCACCCGACGAGACAGGAACAGGGAGCGAAAATAAGACTACCACCTTCTGGTTTAAAAAAAAAAAAAGGCAGAGTTCTGGGTTCCAGGTGAAGTGCAGGAAGCAGAGGGGTAATATTTATGGAGCACGTGTTACAGTTACACGGAGGCTGTTGGTGCTTCAGGACAATTAATTTTGAGGGTTTTGTCCCCCTTTGGTTGTTTGCAGTTGAGAGCCCATTACACAGTACATGTTTAAGAAATACTAAGTGAATCAATGTGGTAGCATTATTTTCTGTTGTATTTATTTATTTACTGAGTTGGGGTCTCGCTTTGTTGCCAAAGATGGAGTGTAATGGCATCATCACAGCTCACTGCAGTCTCAACCTCCTGGGCTCAGATGATCCTTCTGCCTCAGCCTCCCTAATAACTGGGACCACAGGCAGGTGCTACCACACCTGGCTGATTTTTTTTACTTTTTTGGTAGAGTCAAAATCTCACTATGTTGTCCAGGTTGGTCTTGAACCCCTAGGCTCAAATAATCCTCTTGCCTCAGCCTCCCAAAGTGCTGAGACTACAGGTGTAAGCCACCATACTCAGCCTAGAAAGCAAGTTTTTAAATATTTCACCATTACTTCATTATAGTGGGCCATTCTGTGATTGGAATCTAGGCCAGCTGATAGCTGACTCCACACTCTTATACCCTGAAGTAGATAGCCATTGCTAGATGGGTCAGTTGAGTTAGTTAGTATTTACTAGTATTTGTTCTGTTTAGTACTTTGTCCTGATATTTACAATGTATTTTGGGGGATGTTTTAGTCATTTATGGTTAAAAAGTGGGAAATCAATAGCGCTGTTTGAGGTAACAGAAGTCCTTTTTTACTTAGTGAGATGGGGAACGCTTAATTACAGAGCAATATTTGACATAAAGTTCCAAGGATACATTTGTTAAATAAACAGAAGGTAAAGTGGAAGTCTTCTAGATGTACATGCTGATAGAGGAATGAGGTGCTCGTGTAGCTTCATGAGGATGCAAAAGAGAAGGGTCAATTCTACCAGTCCTTTCGCATTCAGCATCATCTCTGTTGAGCACTGGAATCCACTTTGCTAAGACAATGCCTACTTGCCTATGGTTTAAGAATTTCTAATGTAGAATAGAAATGATGAGTAGGAGAACTTGCCTGGATTAATTTCATTTGCGGAGCAAGATTAAACTTAAAAATTCAGTGAGGTGCCTACTAAATGCCCAGGTTTCAAGAGGGAGCCTCATGCAGGGGGGTAACCCCTAAAACCAGAATTTATTTATAAAAAAGTGTGTTTATTCTTACCTGTTTAAACGTCATTCACCTTCAAAGTACTCTTCGTTCGATGCCATACACCTATAGAGAGGCTTTTTCCATTGCTTAAGACAGTTTTTGAACTCATCAATTTTAATGTCTTTGAGTGCTTCTGCCGTTTTTTTGTTTCACCTCTTCCACATTGGCAAACCGTTTTACTTTGAGAAAAATTTTTTTTCATCTGGAGAAACAAAAAGAAGTCACTCGGGGCTAACTTGGGTCTATTTAGGGAGGGTGGGACTGGAGATCATACTGTTTTTGGTCAAAAACTGCTGAACACTTAGTGTGGTGTGGGCAGGTATGCTCATAAATCACCCATCATGAAATGGGCAAACACACTGAAGGAATCTAAAAAAAAAAAAAAAAAAAAAAAAAATCCCACTGAAGCTGAATGCAGCCTCTAAGAACAGTTACACAATAACAACAATACTATATTTACACTGATGCTGATGGTTCCCAGAACACTTACCTAGTGGAGGAAGCCTGTACTACAAGGGGCCCACCCTCTAAAAAAAATAATTCCGAATTTTTTTAGGGGTCCCTTGCATAGCTCATTGATGAATGTGAATGATTTTGCATTTGATGAGCTGATGAGGATGAGTGGCCTAGAAGGACAGATACTTGCATATCTGAGTTGCTTGGAATGTCTATTGCTCATTTTACATATAATTTATTTGTATAGCTATTTAAAGTGCTTGCTTTATGCTAGACCATTTGTGCTTTGGTAGCAAAAATATGCTTGAAAGGACACAGTTCTCAAAATCAGTAATTTCATGTCTACTAGGAGAGTAGGAAAAGTAGAGTGGGCTCTATTATTTATGTGGCAATTTGGATTGTTTTACCATACCACTTTGGTTCCCTGTATGAGGGATGTTAGGATGTAGCTTAAAACTCCTTCAGAATCCTTTTGTTGGGTTTTTTGCTTCATCTGGTTGGCCTGCTTTCCTTATATTTGGCTGTCATCCTTGATTCTTTCATACTATTTATTTATGCTGAACTGTGGAATGTCTTGGTAGCTGTTTCCAGTGTACTCTAGGTCCTTAAATTGGTTTATAATAAATTATTGGGGAGCATAGAAAGTTATTGATTTATATCTATCTGTGGTGACATTTGAATATTTCCATTTCAATTTGTTGGACAATTTGCTTATGGAAATATATGATGTTATGTTTAGTTCTGTGATATCTAAGATTGCAATATATTTTTGTAATTTTTATTTTAAAGATGTGAGGTACAATTCAGGATTAGGTATACAAGTGGTCATCGTACAGGTAAAGTTTGGGCCTCCCTTTGAACCCACTTTGCCTGATTTGAGATCAGGTACCCTTACTGATATTGTGTACCCCTTCTTCACTCTGGCAGTATCCCGCCACTGCCAATCCCTTTCTTATGGTATTATGGTAAATGTTCAGAGTCCACTTATGAGTGAGAATATGTGGTATTCTTTTCTTTGTTTCTGTGTTAGATCACTGATATGATAGACTCTAAATCCATCCAAGTTGCTGTAAAGTCCATATGTTTGTCCTTCTTTATGGCTGCATAATATTCCATTGTGTATTGTGGCTATCTAGTCCAGTTTCAATGGGCACCACAGTTGGTTCCACGTTTTTGCTACTGTGAACAGTGCTGCAATAAACATGCATGTGCAGGTGTCTTTTTTGAAGAATGATTTGAGTTCCTCTGGGTATATTCCCAGAAGGGGGATTGCTGGGTCATATGGAAGGTCAATTTCTAGTTCTTTCAGAAAACATCACACTGTTTTCCAAAGAGGTTGCACTAGTTTGCATTCCCACCAGCAGTGTAGAAGCATTCTTTTTTCTCTGCATCCTCACCGGCATCTGTTGTTGTTTGTTTTAT